CACACACACACACACACACACACACACACACACACACACAATCGACATGTGTTCTCCATTACCGAAAATGATTCACTTCTCGTAAAGCAATTGTATTGCATAATACTCATTGAAAGGCATCTGAGCGCAACAGGTTTGAAGAGCGACAGAGCGAGAGAGAGAGAACCACATGTACCCTCTACATGGGTAGGTAGCACAATGAATCGGTGTTAGAGCAAAATCTCTCTCTTTTAATGTTTGTAAGACCGTCCGTCGAACGCGAGAACTCCCGTGCACATGTTTATCCACACTGTCATTACCGTTTGGAAGACAAAGAAGAGCAGGAAAGTGCTTGCACACAATCCGCAAATAGCATGATGGTAATGATAATAATAATAATAATAATAATAATAATAATAAACATATGTCTGACTGTTTTAACTTCACACTGTAAATTAAAGCGATAGAAACTATTACGTTTTTGTAAACTTTGCGCCGAATTCCAATCCCCTCCCCTGGAGATTCCCTGTTTTGCTGGCAAATTACCAAACGGAAGAGTAAATCATTGTGGGTTGTTTTTTAGACTTACCTGGTCGACTGTTCAGTGCACTGCAGATATTAAAACTACTTAACTCAGTACAGAGAAAATACCGACATCACTGGGACACGAGGGGTGGAGGGATCGGTCCTGGTCCCACTTATCTTGGATGTAGCCTTGTTTTGTGACGAAGATGGGCGGATGTAATGTGCAGAAATAGCTACCCGGATACACCGGCTGTTAAAAGGAGAGCTTGGGTTTATGGGTGTGCATTCAACAAATGAGACAATTGACATGTTCTCATGAATGTGGTCTCTACGGATTGGGTACTATTCGGCGAGGAGTTGATCACGCGTTACGTAACACCCGTACAGTGAAAACACAGCAACGAGATAAATATATATGCCTGCAATTGTTATTCTTCTGCACTCACAATGTACACATCAAGTTTAACAATATAATCTGTGACCAAAAGCAGGCAGTACTGATGGCGTCCCGTCCTCTGTCTGCTTGCTGATTCATTATTGCTTGAGGTAGAAAACGATTCACTTGACACTCTCTAGTTTCTCTTGATTGCTATGACGAATTTTGATCTTTGCATGTGATTTGACAGGAGTTCTCAACTGATTAATTTAAAAAAAGGAAATTATTATTATTATTATTTCTTTTTCGTCCAGTCCAAACATTCACAGTTCACTTATGTGAGATAATATGTATGTCTCGTATTCAGTCAGGCGTCAGTTAGCAGATTGGGCCTTGTGAGGACAAAATGACCCGGGGTGCTGTTGGACGGAACGACCTGATGTGAGACATTGACGAGATGGACAGTGAATAACACGAACAACAAACATACATTTGACCGATTTGTTTGTTCCCATTCACGGTCAGTTGGAAAAATGTCCCCGAGAAAGCAATGAAACCACAGCAGCAGCAGCAGCAGCAGCAGCAGCAGCAGCAGCAGCAGCAGCAGCAGCAGCAGCANTGTTTTCCTTTTCTCCTCAAACGTTAAGCGTATGATGCGTGGAATCCAATCCGAGTCATCAACAGCTGCAGTGGAGGCCTTCATTGAACTGGTCGAAGGGCTACCCGGTTCGGCAAGGTCGAGAAGTTTCACCAAATTTATTGAGCGCATGGAACTATGTGTGCACGAACGCTGGTGGCGAGTAATTCGAGAAAATGTAATACTTATTTTTGTGTAACAAATAAAACTCTGTGCATATAATATATATTTATACATATATTATAGTGGTATTAATCAAACTCGTGCAACATCACTCTCATGTTGGAAATACATTTCAGTCTTCAATATCATACTTACATATTTGTGGCCATGGGTAACGTATATTTAATCCCGATTGTATCTCCCAATTCTGTGTTCTTAGTTCTCTTCTATCACCGTTTGAATTTGGGTGACCTTGAAAGTTGCGATCAAATTTGTAGTAGTTCAAAAGTAGCAAGTCAGATTTGGAAACGTTTCCCTGTATGAGAAACAGGGATAAATTATCTATCTAGACATAGCGGTAAAGGTGTGCGGTGCATTAGAGGAAACTGGCAAATTCTGTTTGTCAGTCAATTTGGTGGACTCTATGCTAAAGCGACTGTCTCCAGTGCTCAAAATTGAAGAAGCACAAACGGAACATGAACCAGACGAACGTACAATACCTGAACGAAGTCTTTGGGTCATTTTAATACATAAGTCCTAACCACGTTTTCTACTGTGACTTTGTTATTTTACAACGGATGCATCAGAAACCATCGTCAAAATCGAGAAATCGTACATTTTAATGGCATGTGGCTAATAGAAGCAAAGACATAAAAGGGTATTATATCAGATATGTTGCGTGTGATGTGAGGCAATATCATATTCAATCCCGTGAATGAGGCTGGAAAAACGAAGCATTGAGAGAAACAAGTGTGTTGAGAATCCGGATGTTGCACGAGTTTGTTCAATATCTGTTTACATGTATTTCAAACAAACACAACATAGTGACGAACAAGCTCGTTTTCAGATGTTCGTATTCTTACCAACACATCATAACAGATATCACTACTTGGGAATCGAATTGTCTTGGGAAAATAAAATCACAGATTACTATGGAAAGACTACATCATGAGACCGAAAATCGGATTCACTAAGATCACCTATTTGTTTGTCTACTCGTGTGTGTGTGNAATACCAGTATATATATTTGAGATGTCCACGTATTTCGGTGCATGGATGTGTGATTCCATGTAATGAGTCAAACATGATGGACTATTGATAGAGAATAGATATAACTCCCGCGGAATTCTGAAATCCAACCGGGGGTATACCGGGTTTATTTCAAATTCACGGTTCACTGTTTTTTGTTGTTCATGGTCTCAGGAAGGACAAAACGAACCGACGGTGATACTACTTGTGTTTGTTTTTTGGGGGGAAATGGTTGAAATGTGTAACGCGGTAAACAGTGACTGAAACAATTGAGAATCGTCTGAATTTAGTGCTTTCGGGTTGTCCGTATTATACACAAACAAAATTATTGCACGCCCTACAATTTCAGATTATATCCAGTTTTGTGCACATGAACCACCATCTCCGCTTTCGGGGAATCTATAGACCGTAACCAAATTAAAAGTAGAAATACAAACTTTCATTAAACTATCGCTTATTTAAACGAAAACATATCGAACAAATAAAGTTGTCATTGCGAATTCATACAGATTACTCGGCTTTAAAATAGGTACGACAGACAGTACGATTTGTACTTCTGTATGGCAACCGGTAATTGTGGTTAGTCAGTGGTTGACAGACTGGTTTAATCAGTCATATAACACACAGTTGTACCTCACTCTTGAAGCCTTTAAAGAAACTATGACCTCCAAGTAGGCCAATGCGACAACCGTGACGCAATAGAAGAGGCTAGTCGATTAACGGGAAACCCAGAATTGTGAACTCAATGTCAGCACACGTGAGATAGACAAACAGTGTTATGCTTGGACTCGAGTGTGCGTGCGGCCGTGCGTGACCGTGCGGATACCATGTGCCGAAAATGACCAGCGAAACGTGGCAGTTTCAAGGCCGATTCTGTCAACCGGTCTCGTTTGCAATCGACGAGAGTCAAGGTCAAGCTATGTGACCAATTCGAACACATCGCAAGCTGTCGTCGATTGAAAATGTTGACTGCGTCATCAGGGTTGACCACAGGACATATCACTACCTCCTGCTCTATAGTTGTTTTTAGAAAAGGTCATCGAGTGAACTTCACTATTGTATATAGAGAGCAGTGGTAATTGTCGGTTGATTGCACTTTAAGATAAGTTCGAACTATGTGCCAAAACGATCGAGGACCAATCTGTAAAAGTGCACTGACTGTATGAATATTGACCAAGGTAGGCAATCGAGGGTAAACAATGGATACCATCACCCGCGAACTGTAACGTATGATTTGGTCACAGTATTACTATCCAAGTGATGAACAGCGGGGTAAGCCCTGGGTACTCGTCAAATCTTTTTTTTCCTTACAGTAAGGTGTAAGGGGACAGGAGATCCACAACAGTATGTGTACGAAACTGAGGATCTTGGAGGCATACAGCACCTGTCCAACCACAGTCGAACACTTTTGCTTGTCAGCATTGTAATCTCTCATCACACGGTTACGTGATGATGGGAGGGAGCGTGGCTGTGGCCGGAAAAAGTACCCTTTGTGTGTGGTCTGAATATACAGAAATCGCCAGTTCACTACCCATCTGAATCACAATAAACCATACATAGTTTCAACGTTTTTACGGATGAAAGCAATGTTTCCGAGATCGCTACCACATTTGCTGTCTAAGGTGAACCCGCAATTGAGGATAGCGCAGGTGCACAAGATAACGATGTTCGTCTGCAATCCCATCGTGGAAATGGGGTTTTCTATAAATGATATCACAGTTCATTCTGGCTGCATTAAACTAAACCGGGGTCGGGGGTTATTCACTACGATCGATTGACAAATGTAAATATGCATCGCCTACTGGGTTGTGAAATTGTATAATTCTATCTAAAGTGGAGATTGCAAATCCATGGATTTAGACAATTCGAGTCCCGGTATCAGAATGTAACCAACTCTATCGAAATGGAACGAAACTCGGTTTCTTATTCGTTTCTAATGCGCAGTATTCTTGACTTCCTAATGTTTATATGAGAGGAATGGAGAATTTGATTTGATTAGATGATGAGTTTGTCGTTTAAATGAGACGTGAACTGAAAAGCTGTTTCGACGCGGTTGGATCTCATCCAGCAATTCGATTCTATCGACGAATTCCCTCTTTGAAATTGAATCAAATCGTCCATTAGTTTCATGTAACAGGTAGTTCGGTAGTGAGTTTCCAACCGGGTCATAACCCCTGGGGAGGCTAGCACTGAGATGAGCGAGGTCCATTGTCCGCAACAAGCTCACAATCATGGGTTGTGCAATTACAGGTATATATTCAAAAGGGGAAACGGTCTGGATCGATGAATTCACATACCCAATTTCTCCACATGAGCGGGCTGATGCAACTTGAGGTAATTGATAGAACACAACTTCTGTGCATTAGATGAAGCAGCAAGAGACAAATTACCATCTTGCATGATTCCAGAATTGGAATGCTTCACCTAAATTTATCAGCGGTTGCAACAATTTCTGACAGAATTACTAGATTTTAAAATATATGAGCACTTGATACGATAATCCAAAAAGGATTTGTAAATCACGGTCTCATGACACAACATTGTGAGAATACATAGCATGTGAAATGAATCCTCGCTCATACATCCGAATAAAGTTCATGGAAGCCTAACTGGACGCCTATCACCGTTTCCTGATTTGCACGTAACTCAGGCGGCCTCCCCTATTTACACGAATGATATTTTTCACTGTCTAAGTTGCAGTAGACTACTTAGACCATGTAAGGTGTTATATGAAATGGTTGAGATGAGAATCAATGTACCACATACCCACAGAGCACTGAACAGTCACGTCATCCAGCTTGTTAGGAATCGATTATCCCTTAGATGAGGCAAATTCGATTTCGTAATCAGAGATAGAATTCAATTTGCAACATATAAATGAATTACAATTGCTAGGGGGGAGTGAAAGCTAAATAAGCCCCGCGAGAAGTGAGGTTTCTGTGTTACTGAAGCGCGCGTGGAATAACGCGCGAACGCAGACCCCGGGCTCTTGTGAACGTCCATGGGCTGATTCGACAACATGATTACCAAGATGATGACCCATCCGGAAAACACCGTTCAATGAGATTAATCATAACAGTACTTAGATGAAAGGTGGTCATTCTTTCCGTAAGCACGAGGAGTGGAAAGACTGCCAGATGTGTGCGTTACATGTGGATTTGATGATTTCCTTCAAAGCCCACCAATTCTATTGTATAGTGTGAAAATACTGAACAACCGGAGACAGTGATTCATTGTTGAATTGTAGAAACCCCATAGTCATGGGAACCTATTGTTCGTTTATGCAAACCAATGACCTAATCCTCTAGACTTGATATTGAACTGCATGAGGAAGCATATTGTTCCACTAAAGCTTGTTGTTATTGTTGTTGTTGGTTGTTGGTTGTTGTTGTTGTTGTTGTTGTTGTTGTTGGTGGTGGTGGTGGTGGTGGTGGTGGTGAAGGGGGAGAACCCCTTTGAAACGCCAAACTTAGTCGTGAGCCAGTGAGTTGAAGCGACTTAAACCGCCTGACCCCACGTACCCGTGACAAATGATTTTGCTCAGGTTTGATCGGGGAGGTGAAAGCAGTGGACACTGATAAAACAGAACAACATTGGAAATCACTATCACGAAACAATATCAAATGAAAGCAGCAATACAACCAGTGTTTTCGATTGATTTGTTTACCCAGATTTAAAAATTGCTCATCCCATGATTTCCCGATATTTGATTTCGTTCGGAAAAACTGAGATCCCAATCGTTCATTAATCTGGAGAGTTTTGTGTACAGTTTGTCCTTCACTGCGTTCATTCCATTTCTTTACAACCTAGCATTCTTCTTCCTTACACATGTAGATGGGTCAAATTGGTACTTTTCACACATGCGCTAAGTTTCTTCGATTTTGTTCACTCGGTTGATCGCAAAATTAATGAAACAATATATATATATAGATCACTGATTATCGTGTGCTCATGAACGTTTCTTAGTCCCTTCACATCCACTGTACAGCGATCTATCTCTTAGTCATCAGCATTCATCGAAGAAGGGACAGAAACGTTTTCGTCACAATGTAGCCGGTTTCTATTTTAACAGACAGACAGACAGACGTGGAACTTTGATTCATCACAAATTACCATTTTTTCATGTCACTCCAGATCAAAATACTTATTTGAATGAAACGAACGAGGAAAACTGAAGAAAAGAGTAGTACCGGAGCGATAATGGCTTTTCATTAACTCGCTTCGGTGAAGACATCCGAAGGGTTTCATTGACGCACGCAGTGCGAGAGCGAGAGCGAATCTACATTCGCCTTCTGGATTGGAACTCGTTTAGTAGAATCGGGCTGTTCAAGATGCGATATGCTCAGAGCAACCAACTACTCTACTAGGACAAGAAAACCGCTAATACCGTTCAGGAGAACTTTCATATTTTAATGCCGTTCGGATAGGAGTGACCGCAATATTAATAGTATTTATTAATAATAATAATAATAATCCTTGTTTTTCTTCTACTGAATAGACAACTGTATAACCTTTTTTATTTCATGAATAGAAAGTGGTCTTTCAGACAGATTTTGTTGACTGCAAAGGTGACGGAGCAGCTAGGAGGGTAGTGATGTAATTTAAACATGCGATCTTTAGTGCGAAACTGACTTATGCCACTTGACTATTACCGC